TACATTTTCTTTTTTTTTAAGGCACTTGCCTCATCCATATCAATGGATTGTTAACACTGATGCTCAAGGATGCTACTTTAAATAATGCCAACTTTGACAAATATTTCACTCCTGATCATTTAGCGGAAACATCAGAGTAATGCTCTTTTCCACCATTGTTGATATAGTGGCAGATTTTCTGGCAGGGTGCAGAGGAGAAAACCTAATAGCTGCCCTCCCCCACACTTCCAGATTTGAAGTCCCCTCTGCCCATGCCCAAAAGAGGCAGTGTAAAGCCTCTTCCCCCAAATCAAAACTCCTCAATTCACCCAGGAGCCAAAAATTCAGAACCAGCTCCCCCAGTTTTCTGAGTCCAGGTATCAGAAGACTAAACTGCCCCCCCCCTACTCCTCTCATAAAATCTCAGCTTTCCTTCAACAACTTCTGTGATGCAGTTATTTGTCAATACTGGTATTGAAAACCAAAGATTTGGACCAATGTAAAATACATTGAATTTGCCATCAAAACGACTGAATAAGAGATAGTGTAGTGATTATACTGTACTGGGGGCACTGAGGGGAAGAAGATTTGGAGCAGGAGAGGGGGGAGTGCTTCATTATTTAGGCCTACTGTGCCTGATAGGACACAAGGCCTCTATTATTACCCATACAAAGCTGTCAGTCTTGCTGTAGTGATGCTTTGTTTCATTTGACTGCTTCTGGCCTTTTTTGAAAGAACTGATATTAGTATTTGAAATTCTAAGCATCGAGGCCATTTATTGCCTTAGAAATACAGATGTCTCTTAACCCAGTCTTTCTAGTTTTGTCCAAGGATGCTGGTTCTGCCCTTTTTTATTTATTTATTTATTTTTTTAAACCCCTCAACCTAAAAAGATTACTGGGCAGTTTTTGAGCAACATTTCCTGGATTTCATTCAGATTACGGAATGTATTGTACACTCTGCTTCTGTAAGCGCAGCAGTAGGCCTTGGCCGGAGAGTGCAGAACGTAGGTAGTGCTGCCCACACACACAAAGCAGGATCTGTGTGGTGGGGGAGCCACAGAGAATGGTGGTTTCTTTTCTCCAGCTCTGTGGGATGTTTGTATGTTCATGCTGACCTTGTCAGCAGTATCTAAACCACCTTTTCCCCCCTCCAATGCTGGTATGCCCCTCTCTATTTGAGGGGAATTGGGTCCCCGTCAGCATGGTTTCTAGGGCTGTGATACAGTACTGAAAAAGCAGAGAGGGCTAGATACCATGCAGAGGCACAAGTCATGTGTAGATACAGTTGGGCTCCCTAGTTTCCCTTGTATCTACATGGATCCTGGAGGAAAGTGCTAGTTTTGGTGGCAGATCTTCTGTTTCTTCCTCAGCATGTCCCTAATACAGGATTAACCAGGTTGTTACCTTTAACATATCTCAATGCCTAGTCCAGGTCCTTGATCTTCCCCAGTAGAAACCAGGTAAAGGCAGGGTTTGTAAGGATGTGTTGTAAGGATGTATTGATTTTAGGTCATTTAAAACTGCTGTATACACCTTTACTCAGCTGTTAAATGTCTCCTTAGCATTCCTGTGAACGTGAATGATTATTTTTCTTCCTAAAAAATCTCATTCCTCTTACTGGATTTAGACTATTTCAAGCCTGGGGCTTGCGGGAGGGAGCCTATTTCAGAGCTGAGGACCTTTCACAAAGAATGCTCTACCTCTGGTCCCATTTCTTTTAAATCAAGAGGGATACAACACAAATGCCTCTGCTGATCACATCCAAACAGCAAGGCAGCCTCTCAAGTTGCAGGGTCCCAAGCCTTTATAGATCAAAATAAACACTACATTTAGCCATTATGCAGCCAGGGCAGATCATGGAGCACTGGAGACATGCACCTCCATTTAATAGGCAATCTGTGGCATTCTGCACCTGTTTAAATTTCTGGATTGACCCAAAGTATAGCCCTAATTAGAGAGCATTGCAGTAATCTAGTCAGGAGGGGACAAAGACACAGATCCTGCTGGCAAGGGCCAAACCTGAAAGAAATGGCTGCAATCTCCTGTCCAGGCACAAACAGTAAAAAGTGTTCCTGAACACTGCTGCTATATGATTATCCAGCACAACCTCCAGGCTGCGAACAGGAGTAACAAATGTCCCTGGCTTTTCTAAAGCCAGATTTTATTTTGTCTGTTAGTAAACAGAAAAACACGTTGTTTTAGCGAAAATACAAAATTCATTACGAAAACAAAAGAAAAACCCAAGCTTTTATTTACTGTTGTAATGAGATGGAGAATGGTTCCAGAAACTATTAGGACAGTTTTACCTATGGCAAACAGAACGTATATGATCTCAGCAGTGGAGCAGGTTTCTAGTGAGCACATTTGTCGAGACTGCTAAATGAAAAGCGTGGCTGTATTTATCAATATTGTTATTGCAATAAATTGGTTTGTTTATTGGTGGAGGTGGCTGACTGAACTTTGACTCTAGCACAGTGGTTCTCAAACTTTTGTACTGGTAACCCCTTTCACATAGCAAGCCTCTGAGTGCGACCTCCCCCCCCCCCCCTTATAAAAACACTTTTTTATATATTTAACACCATTATAAATGCTGGAAGCAAAGCTGGGCTTGGGGTGGAAGCTGACAACTTGCGCCCCCCATGTAATAACCTTGTGACCCCCTGAGGGGTCCTGACCCCCAGTTTGAGAACCCCTGCTAGCACATATTGAGGCCCCATTGACTCTAAGCATTTACCTCATTGCAAGTGTTTGTTTAGGTCACTATGAATAAACATAAACACAGATTTGTGCATGTTGCCCTTCTCCTGACACAGCGATATATTACCTTACTTTGGAAGTCTGAACATTCTTCCATTAGGCGTAGATGGCTAAAGGAGATGCAAACACTCTTTCTTTGGGGAGGCAATTTGGAGGAGAGGAGAAGGACTTTGGACCAATCAGTAGGTTCGAACAGATGTGAGTAAGGACAGAATTTGGTCCTTGTTATTTTATTTGCTGTATTAAAAGGAATTCTCCCTCCCTTTATTAAAACAAATGGAACCATTCCGATTTTTTGAGCCATTAATTTCTTTTATTTTTTTAACTCAGTCTGTTAGCCCTTTGCCCTTTTTCTGCTCAGAGTTAACTCAGCCATATTGTTATAAACCCAAATTGTTACATACCTGTTTTTTAAACTTGTATTTCTGTTGTTGCTGTACCTGTTGTGTGTGTTAGAGAAAATCCCAAAGAAGCACCTTTTTATGCATGTTAATTTAGAGATTATTTCTTTAAATGGATTTCTCAACTGTTATACTGAATAGAATTTTCATCTTCTAAGTGTTTTTTTACAAGCATTGATTAGTCTTCATAGCATCCTTTGAAAGTGGAGATAAATATTACCACCCCAATACCATGGATCAGATACCCTTTGTGAACTTCAGTAAGTTACTTGTCTAAGGGAACAGAGGGAATAAATGCTAGAGGTGAGCTTAGAATTCAGGAATTTCGTGTGTGGACCATGTCCCTCTCAACAAAATATTTGATGCCTTATACTACATTACACAACCTATATTATGTGTGTTAAGTGTAACCAATCAAAATTCACTAAATTCCCTGTGTATATCCCATTGAAACTAATAGCTGCCTGCGGATAGCCATAAGGTATCTGTTACCTTTGATACCTAGTATGCTTTGTTTTAAAATTATCTGCTTGGGAGAATTTTTGGATACTAATTTGGTATAATGATAAACACTTCTAATACCAACCATACTAAGAGTAGGCCTTGCTGCCTCTCTGCTCTTTATTTAAAATTATTCCATTCCAGATGTCCTAATGAGTGTCATGAGTTGTATAATTCTTTCACATTTCCCAGGGGGGAACTTTATATATTTAGGATGAGCATAGAATAAAAACCTAGGAAGCCAGAGAGAGGAGTTTTGTGCAACATTTGCTATTGTGACTGTTTAATTTTTTTTTCTTATGATATAGTCTACAAACATTAGTGTTAAAGCAAGTCTCCCTGCCTTCACTCTATGCTATTATCTTATAAATATCTTGACTCTGACTTTACAGTGCTGTTTATAGAATTTAATAAAGCAAATGTAATAATGCTGCCTGTGCTTTAATGCACAATCTCAATTGAGTTGACCAGAAGATAAATAGGAACAGGAATGATAGTGTGTTCCTGCAGATTGTTTTTAATAAGCATGTTATTTAGTTGATCAGCCCACTGCAGTAATGCCTCCTATCCTAGTCTACCAGACAAATTTATTAATGCTGCCCCCCCACCATTTCTCTGAGAACATTGATTCCCTGCAGACATATCTCTATTAAACCTCTAGAAAGTCACAACTTCCAAATTAGATTAAGTAGCAGGAATGGTACTAGAAGAATCAAAGAAAATTGAGTGCATTATTGAATTTATGCCACATTGTCTCATGAAGAGATGGGAGTTGTGTGGTAGTTGTAACTTTTGTCCTTACTGTACTAACAAAGCTGTGGGCACTGCTGTCAAACCTAATTGTCTACAATGCATCAGGAAAACATGAATCTTTGCTCTTATCCAACCATGCATCTTCTGAGGTTTCCCAAATTAAAAAGTAAACTTTAATACTAAGTCTTGCAATTAAGAAAAGGCATTTTTCATTATTTACTCGTTTTCTGTACACACCCAGCACTTACACTCTTACAGACAATTAAAAAAAAAAAAGTGCCTGGCTTTGGATCGTAAGCAAGACTCACTTGTCTTGCCAGCAGTTGCAAAATGCAAACGTTCATTTTAAAGCGGCCTATTTCTCATTTTGATCTGACATATTAAAAAGCATATAATTAATGGTTGACATTAGTAATTAACATTAACTTTATGGTGCTTAATATGCCATCATTCATCCATCAAATAACTAGTATGCATAATGTCTTGCATAAAGGTTTTAATTATACAAAATGATCCTTCAGTTCTCAGACTGTACAGTTTAAAGAAACTGTGAAAAAATCTGTTTTTTCATTTATTGCATGTTAATGTTGTTTTTGTTTCTCCCTAGGAGTGTGCACAAACGTATGATCCAGGGACCTCAGCTAGGGAAAACGGGCCCAAACACACAACTTCCATTAGTGGCTAAAGAGCACCACCTTGCTGTTGCCAGTGCTCTCTGGAGAAATTTTTTCCCCTTCTTGAAGAGCCAAAGGATGTCACAGACACTGCCTCCTCCACAGCTTGCAGATACAGCTGCAGGTCAGCACTGACCCTCCTTTTTTCTATTGCCTCCTTTGCTATTTCCCTGGATGCAAACTTTTATTCATTTTAAGGATTTGGCATATTCCTGCTCATGTGTAGTAGCTCAAATCTACCTAAATGTAGGGACGAGGCTCTGTGATAATGGTGCTAAATATTTTGACAACAACAAAAAAATGAACTGCTGTCTCTGTCGATAGGATGCAGATCTATAATACTGGAGTGGTTTGAATCTATAGGACTCTTTGATTTTTGGCATCATTGACAGCTTAAATTATATTTGTAATGTTTGCTGTAATCTAAATAAGGATAATGATTTATGGTTCATTACATTATATCTAAAATCTATTCTATTGCTTTACATGAAAGTTTGTTCTCATCTTGTCTTTTTCAGTATTGCTAATGGTTTAACATAATTTACATTTTGATATCATGTTTTGACATCTATGTAGATATTTTTTAAAAGGTACATTTCATTATCACTTTTTGTAGCATTTTTCCTTTCAGATACATTCTGACATTACATTGGACTGTTCTGACTGGTCATTTTGTATTGGAAGCTGTTGGGTTGCTAGAATTTTACCTTGCAAATACCACTGCGAATCCAGACAGATGGATAGTGTATCAGTGAATAGTAAGAATGCTGGATCAGATTCTTGGCTTTCCTGGAGCTACGCTGATTTGTGGCAGCTGAGGATCTGGCTCACTGCATTTAGATGCAGTATTATTTTTGCTGAAATTTTAATATAATACTATGTTTCAGTTTGATGGGGCTGATCCCTAGCTATGACGATATCCTGAATCTAAAAAGTCCAGATTGAAATGGAGTCTTTTTTTTTTTTTTTCCACCTTGATGTGAATTAAGAACTACATTTATAAGCTTCAGGGACTAGGTCAGTAACGGAAATGCTAAGAGACCCTTGAACTGGAGCAGTGCTGCCATAGTTGAGAGAGAATGGTAATGAGAGAGACTATTGTGAAAGGATAATGGTCTCCCACCGCTGAGGCATTTATAGAAAATGGCAATACAAAACCAAAGCAAGATCCATTCTCCTTCTATTTTCTTGTTTTTCTTCTTCTTCATCATCATCATCTTCTTCATACAATGAAACAGTGAGAGAACCAACCTCTATTAGAAATCTGCTTAGAGTGCTGAGTGTAGATATAATTGTAACCTGTGTTATGCACTGATATAAGGGAGCAATGTGGAAGAATGCAACTCCTTACCCCACTGCGCGGGCTACTTGCATTGAAGGTTGCAACACATGGGAGAGAGAGCAGCCTCCACAGCACTGCTACTCCCCATCCTATTCAAGTCAGTGGGGAGTGGACATCCAGGGACAGGAAGTGGCAGCTTTAACCATGCTGCCCCCTTCCCCTCTCTCTCAGAGTATACTGGTGTTGGAAAACCATTAAAACAACTAAATATCAAGGCCCCTAGAATGGAATCACCCCTCAGGATGCATTCACAGGAACATTTCTAATGAAGTTTCTTTGTAATGATTTACAAATAAATCTGAGCTTTGAATGAAGATATGTGGACATTAAAGAATCCTAATGTTTTCTGTATCTTCCCGCCCTTTCTAATAGATTAAAGGTAGCACAGAATAACATATACTGACTTGTAACATTGAAATATAAAATGAAGAATTGTTAATGGTAAGATTAAGAGCTTTGATAGCTATATTTTAATGACTTGTAATTATGTGCAGTGAATGAGTACAGATGAGGTATCTCTTAAGCCAAGGTTTTGGTGGCATGAGTGTAGTTTTGCCAATTTTTCTTTTACATAGAATTTCAAATCTGCTTAAAATGTTATTGCCAGCAGAACAGAATCAACATGTTGTTATATTGGGAGTTGTAAGTAGTAGATACACAAACAAGTAATGATAAATAAAAACAAAGAAACAAAAAAGACACAGGGCAAGATGACACTAAACAACATCACCCAGAAACTGCAAAACCAGCAGGAAAAATACCAAAGTTCGGTAACTGAAGCTTGCACATGCGTAATGTACTCGTTACCTAAAATCCATAAGGTTCATGTGCTTAAAGCCAATTGGATAAAGATTAAGGACTCTGTACTGTAGAAATGTATAAAAGATTAAGCGAACATGGACCCAAACTGGAGAAACACTGGACCAGAAACTGAAGAACAGGGCTGAAGGACCAGACCAAGGGATCAGAGTAGGTGAAACTATCATGGAAGGTGGAAGAACCTCCCAGTGCTCCAGAATGTGGCAACTTGAGCCTATTTACCAATTCTGTCTCATCTGTTGTTATCTGGATGGCATAAATGTATGTCCAGACACTGAGCCCTGGTCTACACTACGCGTTTAGGTCGAATTTAGCAACGTTAGATCGATTTAACCCTGCACCCGTCCACGTAACGAAGCCATTTTTGTCGATTTAAAAGGCTCTTAAAATCGATTTCTGTACTCCCCAACGAGCGGATTAGCACTGAAATCGACCTTGCTGGGTCGAATTTGGGGTAGTGTGGACGCAATTTGATGGTATTGGCCTCCGGGAGCTATCCCAGAGTGCTCCATTGTGACTGCTCTGGACAGCAATCTGAACTCGGATGCACTGGCCAGGTAGACAGGAAAAGCCCCGCAAACGTTTGAATATCATTTCCTGTTTGGCCAGCGTGGCGAGCTCAGAGGTGACTGTGCAGATCTCATCAGCAGAGGTGACCATGGAGTCCCAGAATCGCAAAAGAGCTCCAGCATGGACCAAACGGGAGGTACTGGATCTGATCGCTGTATGGTGAGAGGTATCCGTGCTATCAGAACTCCACTCCACCCCAGAGGACTGCCCAAGCAACAGAAAGCTGGCATTCAATAAGTTTTGAAGTGCGGTGTGGCCTTCTCCTTCCCTTCTCCCCTCCTCCACCACCCCACCCAGTGCTTCCCTCCTCCCCCACCCCTCCCGGGCTACCTTGGCATTTATCCCCCCATTTGTGTGATGAATTAATAAAGAATGCATTAATTTGAAACAACAATGACTTTACTGCCTCTGCAAGCGATGATCAAAGGTGGGAGGGGAGGGCAGTTGGCTTACAGGGAAGTAGAGTGAACCAAAGGGGCGGGTTTTCATCAAGGAGAAACAAACAGAACTTTCACACCGTAGCCTGGCCAGTCATGAAACTGGTTTTCAAAGCTTCTCTGATGCACAGCGCGCCCTGCTGTGCTCTTCTAACCACCCTGGTGTCTGGCTGTGCGTAATCAGTGGCCAGGCGATTTGCCTCAACCTCCCACCTCACCATAAATGTCTCCCCCTTACTCTCACAGATACTGTGGAGCACACAGCAAGCAGTAATAACGATGGGAATATTGGTTTCGCTGAGGTCTAACCGAGACAGTAAACTGCACCAGTGCGTTTTTAAATGTCCAAATGCACATTCCTACCACCATTCTGCACTTGCTCAGCCTATAGTTGAACTTCTCCTTACTACTTTCCAGGCTTCATGAGCCATGGGAGCAAGAGTAGTCTGGGGTAGGTGCGACCGCGTGGTGCTGCCGGCTAGGAGAGCAGCCTGAGGCAGAAGCCTCCAGCTCGTATGATGTTCCAGGCAGGACTGAATCTCCATGAGATGAAACTTAAAGAAGAGAATGACCTGGAGTCACTCCCATTTATGTCCAGGCGCCCCTGACTGACCTCACTGAGGTCTGCCAGGAGCACCCATGTCTGCCCAGGCACCCCTGACCGACCTCACCGAGGTCAGCCAGGAGCATCCAGGAGACGACGACGACGGCTAGCAGTCGTATTACACCATCTGCTGCCGCGAAGGCAAGGAGCTGCTGCTGTGTAGCAATGCAGTACCTCATCTGCCAGCAGCACCCAGGAGACGTACAGTGACGGTGAGCTGAGTGGGCTCCATGCTTGCCGTGGTATGTCGTCTGCACGGGTAACCCAGGAAAAAAGTTGAGAAATGATTGTTTGCCGTCGCTTTCACAGAGGGAGCAAGGGAGGGGGGCCTGACAACATGTACCCAAAACCACCCGCGACAATGTTTTTGCCCCATCAGGCATTGGGAGCTCAACCCAGAATTCCAATGGGCGGCGGAGACTGCGGGAACTGTGGGATAGCTACCCACAGTGCAACGCTCCGAAAGCAACGCTAGCCTCGGTACTGTGGACGCACTCCGCCGACTTAATGCAACTGTATAAAGTCGATTTCTAAAAAATCAACTTCTATAAAAATCGACCTAATTTCATAGTGTAGACATACCCTTAGTGATATTTCTTTCTGAAATGGTATTAATAAAACCAAAAATTGATTAAGCCTAAATTGGGTGGACTTGTGACTCAGTTTCCCAACTTTTACCCCCAGCACTGGCCAACACTGCTGAACCACCATGGTGGGGAAAGTAATCTGTGCTAAGTATATAAGGTTGGCATGATTACTTCCTTCCCTGGGGTAAGGGGTGAACTAGGCACCATATTGTGACTGTAGTTCACAAAAGGTCCTTAGCCTGCTTCTGGGGTGGCAAAACTACGCACTGACCCTTACTGGGGACTTGTAGTAAGACCACAGACCTAGCCCTGTTCCATTAATTCAAATAGCTGAATTTGTATTGTTTCTGAGAATTGACTTATTCTGTACTTCAGCTAGTCAAAAATCAGCTTCTGGATACATGTAGTTCAAAGTATACTGTTAATTTATTAATATGCTGGTTTCTGGGAAGCTGGGAGCTGGTGAGCATCTTACATTTTATCAAAAAATAAAGATCAGTCTTCCAAACCTCCTTTCCTGTTGCCGATTTCATTTAGTCTAATAACATATCAGCATTCCACGATATGTCTCCTGCCTGCCTTGAAATGTATTTGTTATCCATGGCATAAAGAATGAGCTATGAGAATAATTTTTTTATTGTTAGTGTTGGATGTAGGTTCCATGGTGGCCCACCGATTTAAAGAGCATGGTTATGTCTCATTAAAAAATTCTGTATGCAGTGTTGTTATAGCTGTGTCGGTTCCAGGATATTAGAGAGACAAGATGGGTGAGGTAATATCTTTTATTGGACCAACTGCTGCTGGTGAGAGAAAAATTGTGACATCTAAATTGTAGCTCGAAAGCTTCTCTCTCTTACCAACAGCAGTTGGTCCAATAAAAGATATTACCTCACCAACTTTGTGTCTCTAAAAAAAATTCTGTGGCAGGTATTCATTTTACAGTTTTCTAGATCTGAAGATGTTGTGTTGGCCTACGTGGGATTGTTCAGTTCAAAAGTAACTTTTTGTCATTAGCATTGTATTTACACTCTTCCCCGCCCCCCCGCCCCCCCCCGGAACTCTCATTTACAAAAGTTTATTCTAAACATAGCAAGAAACACAATTCTTCAGATCCCATACCTTTCGAAATATAGTTTAATCCTCCAAAATTCATTCCTGGAGGAAGAAAGTGTTTTAAAAATGGTTATAGGACAAAAAATGTACTCGTGCATGAAGGGAGGGAGAATGTATTTTTAAACGGTGTGTATTTGATTGTATCAGTCTGCTAAATTTTGTATCTTGTATGTTGTCATGGATTGTAAGCTCCTCAGGATAGGGACTGCATCTTCATATGCGTTTAAACGGTGTCTAGCATGATGGGTTCCCAGTCATGATTGTGGCCTGTGGGAGTGACAGAATCATATGTATTAAATAATAACTAATAGCAGACTCTGTTTGTTAGTAGAACAGGAATATATTTTAAATATTTGGAGAAACTTAACACTCTGCCCCTCCCTTTTCTCTGTTGAAAATCAGGTTTTACTCTGTTAGCTTTGGACATGCCCTGTACAGCTCCATCAGATCTCCAGCCACAGCCTGTTTTAGCAATGATGCAATTGTTTGGATGGGATGATATGGTGTGTCCCCAGCTGGTATCAAGATATCTCAGTCATCTAATACAAAACAGGTGAACAATTTAAACTTCTTGTTCTTTCGGATCCTTTCTAGCATACGAAGTCCCCTCATTCGCTCATCGGTCTAAAGGAAAATGTTATTTTAAAAAGCAGTGCCTCCCTTCAAGTGGTCCAGTTTCTTAGAGAATTGCAAAAGGTCTATAACAAAGTTCTAGATTCCTTGAATTTATTAAAGTTTTGTCCTCCTTTATTTTCTAAAGCTTTTTTCTTATGGCTTTGGATAATGAAAGTTGACAGGTAGACATTTAAATTGCAAAGTTAATTTTTCTTTCATGCAGCAAGTCACTTTTTTTTTCCAAATGGAAAAAGTGTTGTTGCTAATTGGTATTGGAAAACTGGGATCTAGACAATAACTCTGTATCAATACTCTTCTGAAGGCCATTACACTGCAGCTAAATGAAATGCCTTGACCTACGCAGTATTGTACTTTATTTAGTTGCATATTGACTATTCCTCCTCTTCTACTATTGTTACCATCCCTACCGCTTAAGAGGTAAAGCAGTAGCACCCATAGTTGAATTTTAATATGTTGAATGTTACGACTTGGTAATTCCAACATCTGTTTATCCCCTTTCATTCATGCTTACAGGTTTTAAGCTTGAGTCTTAATATTCCTCTGGACTTTTTATGATATTGCAACAGCGATCTGACGATAGGTGCTTAATATTAAATTCAAGAGAAATAATTAAATATTTTAGGTTTCTATTATAACAAAAATATTTAGGGAAGGGTGCAGCATAGTATCAATAATATCCAAAATAATAAAATTGGACTTGTGGACGTTTTCATCTGGCAACCTCATACTGGTTTTCGCACAATACTAGTGTCTGAGACTGTAAGAATGAGCACGTTGAGTAGAATCCTAAGATTTATTTAACAGATTTTTGCCCCAATCCTACAAACATGAACATGCTTAAATGTATGGGTGTGAGTAGTTCCATTGACTTAAATGGGTCTGCATAAAGTTAAGCATGTACATAAACATTCACTGAATCAGAGCCTTCATTCTGAGGGGGGAGGGGTGTCTCTCTTTCACTCTCTGCTCTGGGGTGTATTTAGCATTGGAGGTGAAGAAATTAAACCACATGTTAGTTATTATCCAAAGTAAACCCAGGTTATGATTCTGTTGTGCTTCAAAATAAGAGGGGAGTAAATCTCAGTCAGAGTAGATATGAGGACTGGAACAGCTAGAAGTGTTGCAAAATCTTGCTGGCAGAGACAAGGAGCAAATTTGGCTGCTTATGTGGCATGCAGTGCTTATGGCAGACAGGCAGTGTTCAAAGAGAGAGGAGAAGGATGGTCCAGTGGTTAGAGTGCTGCCTGGGACTTAGACCCAGGATCAATTCCCTGCTCTGCTTTCCTGTGATTTTGTATAAGTCAGCTAGTCTCTCTATGCCTAGGTTCCCTCCCTGTCAAATGGGGATAATAGTACTTTCCGCAGAGGTATGTTGCAAGGTGCTCAGATACAAGGGTGATGGGAGTGATAAGTACCAAAGATAGGGCCTTTGTTTGGTAGGAATTGATATTCTTAACATATCAACCCTTTAATTTATATAAACAAGGCAGAATTTTTGATCATATGCTTAATATGTTTGTTTGTTGACTTTAGAAAATTTTATAGCACAAGTCACCGAAGTATCTAAGTCAGGGATCGGCAACCTTTGGCACGTGGCACACCAGAGGTAAGCACCCTGGCAGGCCGGGTCGGTTTGTTTACCTGCTGCGTCCGCAGGTTCGGCCGATCGCAGCTCCCACTGGCCGCGGTTCGCCGCTCCAGGCCAATGGAGGCTGCAGGAATTGGCAGCCAGCACATCCCTCGGCCCACGCCACTTCCCGCAGCCCCCATTGGCCTGCAACGGTGAACCGTGGCCAGTGGGAGCTGCGATCGACCGAACCTGTGGACGTGGCAGGTAAACAAACCGGCCCCGCCCACCAGGGTGCTTACCCTGGCGGGCCGCGTGCCAAAGGTTGCCGACCCCTGATCTAAGCATTGGCAACCTGGCGCTTCACGGTTATGGACTGTTAATGATTTTTACATCAAATGAGCTAAATTTACAAGCAAAAAGATGATTTTTTTTTTTCTATCACCCCGGCAAACTCAGCCTGGTCTCTGAGATCAAAACTGGGTTCTTTCTACATGATGCTTTATCACCAATTATAAAGGTTCTGCGCACAAATTATGGACATCTGAGCAACCTATCAGTCAAGATCAGCATTTGGCACTGTACATGTATCATGCTCTTCAGCAAGGTACTTAGACACTTGCCTAACTTTAAACCCATTGATTTAAATTGGGCTCCTCACAACGCATGAAGTTAAGCATGTCTTTGCAAGATTGGGGCCGTAGTAGGCACTCCTGTTCCAGAGAGTTAACGATACAATTTTTAAGACAGTATTGTGTGGGTTTCACAACAGTAGGTTGGAGAAGGGGGAAGAGGGACAGGATAAGAGTAACTGTGATAAATTCATGTATACACAACTTGATGAATCATTGAACTGGAAAGGACCTTGAGAGGTCATCTAGTCCAGTCGCCTGCACTCATGGCAGGACTAAGCATTATCTAGAGCATTCCTGATAGGTGTTTTTCTAACCTCCTCCCCAGTGCAATTGAAATATGCAGAGGAGATGTTTTCTCCTGCAGTCAGGCGTTCCTACTGCAATTAAGTACAGTTACACAGGCACATGCTGCTTGGGCAGAAGAGCAGCAGGCACTCATTAGATATATCAGAAAAGTCCGTGAGGCTGTGGAACATCAGAGGAGGGCATCGCAGCACCAACTAGTGTGATTGAGCTCCTTGGCAAAGTCGGTCAGCCAGGCACTCACCCAACACCTACCTGGCATGATACCCGCTCATTAGGAGTCAGATGAATCTGCTTCATCCGCCAATAGAGTTGCCACAATGCCCCCTCTGTCTGCCTCCACAACAGGTACTCCTGGGGGAAATCTGTGCCAGTGCGCAATGCAGAATTTTGCAGAAATGAATGTTTTTTTTGCATAATTTCATCCCCCCCCCCCCCCCCCAGAAATGGGCTGCAGTGCTGCTGGCTGCCACTAGGGGCGCTGGACCCAGCAGAGCCCAGCTCACACATAGATGGCACTGCGGGGGGGGGGGAAGGGGGGGAGTAGAGAGTTCCTAGCAGCTGCAGTTCCCTGCACGCTCTGAGGGAAGGAGACAGAGGTGTGCAGGAAACTCTACACAAGCCTGGCTGGGACCCAGCAACAGGCTGTTTCTCCTTCTGGATCCATGGGTTGTAGGGAGATGGGTGTCTGGGCTAGGGTGACCAGACAGCAAGTGTGAAAAATCAGGACAGAGGGTGGGGGGTAATAGGAGCCTATATAAGAAAAAGCCCGAAATATAGGGATTGTCCCTATAAAATCGGGACATCTGGTCACCCTAGTCTGGGCTCGGGGGGCACAGCTGGGTTTTGGGAGGGAGGGGGCGGGTATCTGGGCTGGGGGGCCACAGCTAGCTTCTGGGAGCGAGGGGGCTGATGTCTGGGCTGGGGGATATGGCTTGGCTCTGGGGGGTGGGAAGGGGCAGAGAAACAGGAACTGCGTTGTCATAGGGTTTCTTTAACTCTCTAGTCCTGGGGGAATTTTTGTGTGTGTCTGTATTGTTACAGACATACTTGCTGACAGGTATTTTGAAATAAATTACCAAAATAATTGAAACTGGTGTGATTATGTAGAGTTATCTTGACAAATAAAATTTTCAGAATTTTGTAGAATTTTAAAATATTGTGTGCAGAATTTTTAACTTTTTGGCGCAGAATTTTTAATTTTTTTGGTGCAGAATTCCCCCAGGAGTATAAATTGCATCACACATTTAAATATTATAAAATGGTGCCGATTTCATAATACTTAACGTATATATTCAGTGTTGAAATGATGTTTGGTCTGACAGAATATTTTCAAATGATGTTGGGGGTTTATGTGGGACTTGGCTGCTGGAAATATCTGGGAAGTGTGCTGCCATGGACTTGTGCACTTGATTTTTCTTCTCTCTTACACTGTTTTGTACACAAGTATAGCTGCACTGGCTCCGATGTAGTTAGTCCTAATTTGCTGTGGTGTAAGCTAGGGGAGAATCTGGCCCTCTTTGTGTTTGACAAGGGAGTATAAAAGGAACTATCCTCCTCTACAGCCACGTCACAGTCGTTTGTACCATCTCTAGATTGCCTTAGTGAGGTTTTTCTCCTTAACTGTTTTTGATTGGTCACAATCTTTTTTGCCGAAACAAATCACCTCTCTTCCAAGTAGAGAGAGACTCCCATTGCTGGATTGAAAAATAACAAACTGTACAGATTTTCTATACATCAGTTTTGTGTCTTACATCTGACCTGTAAATTATATCGCCACATATGGCACTAGTGAATATAGCAGATCACCTGTATCTGGGCATCTGTAAACTCTGGGCAAAATTCTGTAGGTTGCATGTATTTAAAGGAATGCCAAGTTTGGCCCTCTCTCTGTGTTATGTTTGTATACAGTTATAAATAGGGTTGCTAAAAACATTCTCTATAAAACTAAAGTAAAATTAGGCTTTTTTCCAGCTCTTTACTTATTTCCTTTCCCCCCACCACTGTATCTGTGCAGCACATTGTCTGAAGCTTTTTCTGGTATGGGACATACATCCTATGAAGCCTTGTCAGTACGTTCTTGGTTTCGATGCATTTTACAAATGTACATTGATCAGCCTACTGGTACATTGACCAGGACAGATGTTGAGCGAACAGTTGGTAAGTGTTCACGTTTCCCTAGTGTTTGAATTGCTGTAGTGATTCTATATAGCAAAAATGGCATATATTTTCAATTAATTACAAAATGTATTTTTGTTTGTATTTCTTTACTTTTACCTTATTACAAAATGTGCTTCTTTACACGGCTTGTGCTATTTCTTGATGTTTTGCCTGTTCTATATATGACAAATTTATCACAAACAAAGATAAAAGAGCTGTTTCCTTGGAAGCAAAGAACAAAAACTTGCTCCCAAGGAGACAAGCTATTTTTTCCCCCATGAAGAACTGCTCTGAAAAAAGTGAAAATCTGAAGTAAATAACCAGGAATCATGCTGTGAACTCCCTAAAAAGAAAAGCATCCAATTATGAATAATTCTTTCCCATTTTAGATTGGATATTTTGCTTTCTTGGCTGCTTCATCCTTATGTGCTGAATGATATTTATTCAGGCTTATTTAGAATACTGCACTTCTAATTATCTATAGGGCAAATCTTCTAAAATATATTGTTCGTGTATATTCTGTAAATTGTAATTCATGTATATTCTGGAAGGCTAACGGTAGAGTGAAGGGCTTGGATTACTCCTAATACTCATTACTCTCACCCAGTGTTGGATACTTGCCTAGTTTAGAAACAAGCCCTTTGTCTAGTAAGAAACCTTAACTTATGGAATCTTCATATTTTAAAGACTTTGAATTGTGTTTTACTTCATGATTTTGTTAACAGATAAATAGAAAACTCAACCATAGGTGGAATTGACTAGCAAAGTATACTGCGTTCTCCGTTATATTCTCTTTATAACAAACAGGGAAAGTTTATGTGGAGCAGCTGACTGAAATGACAAGGTTGGTTTTTAAACTCTCAGAAATAGAAAACATCTTCTCAAAGGCACATTTTGATGAATCAATCTTCAAGCAAGACCCTAAGAATGCTCTTGTCCAATTCATTAAGGTACTGTACCTCTTATAAACAGGACAGTTACAATGTGCAATGTAAAACCAAAACTTGAATGTGCTTTTTTTTTTTTTATTTTATTTAGCCAAGCTTCAGCACAGTACTTAATAAAAACAAACCAAATCCAACAGAGTCTGATCTATTTAACTTTCTTTGTGTTCTCAGGCTGTTGGTGTAACTTACAGCGGCCTTCAGACTGTAGCTGAGAAATCTGCCATGGTAACAAAGACTTTAGAATATCTAGGTGACGTGGTAAAATATGTAAAACCTTATTTGCAGAAGAAAGGACCTGCTGAAGGCCTGCAGCTCACTTACTCGATTATAGGTAATTATTTTGCAGCCGTACATCATCTTGTTTCATAATTCAGTAGCATAGGAAATAGTTTTGTGTATGGAATGAGTAAAATATTGTGACTCAACACAGCACCAGTGAACAACTTTTTGTGTGGACTTTTTAATAATCTATTTTCCTGACGTTTAAAAGATTAAATATCAGAAAACTACTAAAAAGCAAAATTCCTAATTTTCTCTTTTATCTTTCTCACCCTTTTATCTTGATCCTCTGAAACAACAATATTTTCTCTCCTCCAAAAAATAATCCTTCCTCTGTAGTTGTGCTGTGAATACAACAAAGTTTCGCTTTCATTTGAAATCATGAGGTTTTAATATTTTTGTTCACTGAAAATCTTTACTGGAACAAAACAAGGAAAAATGGCAACAGAATGGGATTTTTATTAGTCTGCAGTATCTTTGCTATAATGCTATGTTTGTGCGTCTGACTATGTAAATTATCAATTAAATGAGCATTACTTTGGCACTCTTCTCTTCGATCCTGTGTGCACATTATTAAATGCCATATTCTGGGAGCCTTACCCATACTGAATAGTTCCTTACTCCTTGAGTATTGCCATTAAAACCAATGGGACTGCTCAAAGAATAAAGTGGTACTAACTATGAATAAAGGTGCCAGACTCTGACCCAAGGCCTACCTACCTTTAAATAAAAGATAGAGGGTTGTGTGCACATGTATATGTGTAGTGAAAGCACCATCTTTAAAACAGTGGGAATTGTTTACTGAAGTAAGCAAAACTAACATTTAAGTAGAATATCGAATGTATATCTGATTTAACAGAATTATTGATGGGTAAATGTTTTTATTTTCTGATTCCCAGATCTGTATATTCTGGTACATAAGCTATCAACCAAATGAGCTGTGTTAAGTATGCAGATGCCAGAACCATTTTTATATAATAAAATGACTAAAAGGTATTTTTTCCCTCTCTTTCCTTGCCCATAGGAAAGGGTGATATTATCAGAATCTGAAATTGTACCACTCGATACAAGAAATTGTCCTTTTCCTTTAGTAAAAAAGTAGTGAGTGAAATGGGAATTATGGTTTTGTTCTGTCAGTTAAGGTAATCTCAGACATTTCTTCACCTGCTGTGAGCTTGTAAAACTGCAGTCACACAGTAAGATGCTTTCCAGATAAATCTGGAAGCCTCTCAAGTATGGGCGTCATACGTGTCTCTAAACTGCATTGCCATATGCCACCAAATACATAGTGTCAGTGATAATGGGCATAGAACTCTGGATCAGAGTGATTATGCTTCTTCGAAATATTTGTGTATGGTAGTTGGAAGAAAACTGGGCACTAGCAGCATTATTAGAAATATTGCTAAGTGATCACTGTGTTTCATTATGATTGATCACTGTGTTTTCTTTCACTCCTCAAGATGAATGTTGTTGTTCGTTGGTTTTAGAGATGGTAATGGGTTGACTTCTATACATTAATAACGTCTTGTAAAAGCCTATTTTTGATCTCTTCGGTTACTTATTCAGTCTTGAACATATTTCCTTGGGATGCCCCCGTATTTTGTGACGTAGGAAACCTTTTCTTGTTTATAATTGGATATACACTCAAATTGTGCTCAGTTGATGAGAACTACTTTGTATGGGCAAGAATCTGTTTTATTAGACTGTTTATATTAGTTGCACTGTACTTTGAGTAATAAAATGCTGCTGAGTATGCAGCCATTTCCTCAATAAAAACTGCACTTCAGCTTTAATGAAGCTGTTCCTGGATGTCAAGGTATTTTTACATTAACACCCTTTTACAGTCAGTAAACTAAGGACAGGGAACTGTGCAAATCAGTACACAAAGGTGTTGAAAAGAGGTAAGAAGTGCTGCTCTTATATAGCATGGAAGTTTTCAAACTATAGATCACCAGCAGTCTATAAAGAGGCACCTGGTTCTATGGACCTGGCTTCTCCTTGTTTTCAGCTGGTAAATTGCATTAAAAGGAGTTAAAATATATATAAAATATTTTCCTAATATTGCTCTTTCATGTAAACAATGTTCTTATTGCCATAGGACTGTTATGCAGTTGTGAATGGAAGCTAAAGGCAATCTGTCTGTTGAAGATGTGATTCACACTGAAAAAGTTTGAGAACCCATATTATGGCATGTGTGGGAGAGGCAGATGTAGTGTACAAATATGCCAAATACAGTAGTTAAATAGTGGAACGCTTATAGCACAGAGGTATAATAAGATGGCCCCCTTTTATGTTGTAGCCATTCCTTTTGCAAAACAACTTCACTGTAATTGAAATGACAATTTGTATGTTATGCATTGAAACAATTTGGGACTTCCATATTGCTGTACTGTAAATGGACTTTCATTGTATCCAGGTTCACTAAGCAGACTGTACTTGAAAATGAGACAACTGGGTTGCTATGGTTACCTGTGGATTAATGTAACAACAGACTGCCTGTTTGGAATTTTTTTTGCCTGCTTGTAATTTACTTTTTTGGGTTTCTTGACTGTTCTTCAATAGGAGGCCTTGTAAAGTTCTGGGCACCAATACTGGCAACTTCCAAAGCACAACAGCTTTTGTTCCGCATCATAGATAGCTTGCTATTGCCACTTGTCGTGTTTCAGCAAGACAAAGAGCTGCCTGCCGTTATGCTGTCTGCCATTCGGGAAAATCTTCCTCTTTATCTTCAGGTAAATATCTGAATTCCTTTATCAGCAAGCAAACAACTTCTTGAACAGCAATGGAATTTTTTTCTACAAAAATGCCTTTGATCTCATTTAAATCAAGCACAAGAAGTGGTAGCATTTTTCCTCTTGTGGAGAGTGGGAGGAAAAAAAGCCACCCCAGTTAGTTCACCTCTCTCTGAATATGTATAGCAGTGATGGAGGATGCACTCCAATATACGCTAGCCTGATCATTGTGTATAGAGAAGATTTAGCTGACCTATTGCCAACACTGGCTTGTGAAATGAGGGACTTTTGACACAGCAGATCAAATAAGCATAATGGATAAAAGGACACTGGTTGAGATTAGAAAGCAAACATGAATTTGTAAATATACGTTATTAAATATACCTTAATAACACTCTAGTTTACTAGGGGTTAGATAATTTTAAATGTTTATTTTTTACTGTTTTTTGTGTTTGTGGACTTTCTGAGAAGACCCTGTTGTTATCTCAGTGGTTTGACAGTGGATTTGGTCCAGTCATTGGTTCCAGTATTGGTTGTAGTCTGTTTCTCCCCCACCCCCCGCACATTTTCATTTACTCTCAAAATGCTGTAAGGCTTACTGGAAGTGCAGGAGGTTGTTTACATTGGGGTTGAAGGAGCGAAAAGACCTATTTTAAAAATAAATAATTAAATGTGTACATTATTTTCTGTCAAACCCTTTTTTATGGTCCCTCAAAACCCAACTTTGAGCATAAACTTCTTGCCACTGTCCTTAAAAACAACTAAGTAATACAAGGCTGTAATTAAATTCAGATGTTGTGGTAACATTGTAGACATCCCACAGCTTTCTTCCTTTATCCAAAAGTCACATTGTGGTTGATGGCATGTCATAGTAAAATGAATATCACTATATAATGACATAGCAGTATATGACTTAGTTCTTTGCTGGTTTGTGGGAATTTTGAGATGCTGTCTATACCTTGTGACCATCTGGAAGCTGATATTACTACAGAATGTGGCAGCCTGCTTGCTAAGTGGTATTTCATCCACAGAGTATATTACACTGGTGCTCTGTAGTCTGTGCTGAAAACCAATAGGCTTCTGGGTGTACTTTTCAGATAATGGTTTTCTATAAAGTCCTAGATGGTTTGGGTCCTAGCTCCCTGGCAGTGCTTAATTTGTGCCAGTGCTGAACCCCGGCATCTCTGGGCTTGCTGCATCAGTTATGAATGTAAAAACAATTGCCAGAGCCCCGGCACCTCTTTCATTACAAATTAAGCAGTGCTCCCTGGTTTCGCTCCCTGACGCAGTCCTTATTGCGCTCCCCCTGCAGGACACTCCCTACGCTGCTGAGTGTGGACCTATCTGCTGGATCCGTGAGCTTTTGAGCACCCTGCCCTGAATCTGGTCAGACGCCAGGCATTGTCTCTGCCCTCTAGCCTCACTCCTTGAGTGCTGACTTTCTGCTGATACCCTTTTCTGAAAGTGGGACCCCACAATCCACTTGCCCTAGGTCGCAAGACCAGTGCTGCCCCGCCCTCCCTCCAATCTCCCCAATAGCTTAAGCACACCCTATCCCAGATCTCTGCCATAGTGGGTAGTCCAGTTTAAAGTTTAGCCTTTCCGGGGCATATGACAGTGAGGCTTTGCAAAGTACCCATGCTGTATTCATAGAGAAAGCCTAGAGACTTACAGATCCATGCAAAAAACCTGCATTCAAAACCCATCCCTCCTTTGCCCCCTCACTACTCCAAGATGTCTTTGGGTTTGTAGCCAGTCCCTTCAGGAGTCCCTGGACTCGACTCATCTGACTCAGTCTTCTCTCCCTGGTCATGCATTCTCCTTGTTGACTCCTGTAAGCAAGCTTGAGCTGGTCTGGCAGTCAAAAGATTCCCTCTGAACCAGAAACCACATCCCTTTGTGTGTGCGCTGCATCTGAGTTTTTAACAGCCAGTCCTAATGCCTGATTTTTTTTGTTCTCCTTCTGGGGATTTTCCATCCCTCTGCAGACGATCTGAGGAAAACCAGTTTCCGTACGCTTGAACCATCCCATTGTTCTAAGGTGCTCTTACTCTTTGTGGCTATTCATGTTAATGACTCTCCATTGTTACTGGCCTGGGAGAGATGTGCCACCAGTGCTGGTAAAAAGTGGCTGATTCCAAATACAATGAATTTCATAAAATCCACCGGAATTAATAAGTTTGTATGTAGACAGATTTGCCAAACCATTACACTCCCCATGTGATACTATTGCAGTTGCAATTGGCAAATTACTCAAGGCAACAGGGCCCTGATTTAAAAAGAAGGGGGCTCTCTTCCTAAGGGGTCCTCAAATCTGGAACTTCCCTAGCTTATACTGGCAAAGCCGAGATCTTTTAGGGAATATGGCAAAGCTCCTCTCTCTCTTTCTCCCCCTCTCCTTTTTTTCTTTTGATTTTCTGTATTGAGAGTACTTTGAGGGCTACAGCATGAATAGGTGTGGTTTATTAGAATCTCAAGTAAGTATTATTGTGGGAGTTCATTATGATCACTGTGATATGTTCTAACTACGCTAAAACCCCCAAACTGTAGGTATGTTTTAGAGAGATGAAAATAAATATCAGGTATATCTAGGGTGCCCATTGCATATGTCTGAATGCCACGTGCATGAATTAAGAACTGCATTAAGATTGGCCATAGTGTGTTTTTTGTTTGTTTGTCTAATTACACTTACTGCATTTATTTTATTTTAGTTTAGTTTTTAGTTTAGTTTAGTTAGCTGCTTAAATAAATGTGAGCTAAAGAACTTATGTATGAGAGAAATTGATTTGACACCACCACACCCATTTTGTCCACTTAGCCACCATTAACTGGAAGCGAGAACACCATGTAGTCACGAATAATTTGAGCTTTGTGTAAGCATATAAAATAGCTGCAGCTGCAGTTTTGCTGATAAGGATAGAAAGTAAAATTGGAGGAACCATGGGAATGGGCGAAAGTGTGGCTAGCTGACTTGGGATATGGATGTTCCTGATTATGAGTTTTTGTTGATATGATACTAGGAGCTGCTTGTTGATGTTAGGAAAATTTTTAGTTTGCAAGGGGTGACTGAGTTATGCGCTTTGTTCTGAGCAACCTATAAAAAGATGTGTCTGAGTGCATGAGTTGGAGAAGTTCAGAGAGGTTTTCTACGAGCTAGAAGGCTGACACTCAACTCCCCAGCAACTAGGAGGAAGGCTGGCCATTAGAAACCTACCACTGACCACTCGACACCATCTCAGACTTTTGGTAATTATATCTGGGTTGTTCTAAACTGTTGCTATTTTAGATGTGTGCTTTGGACTCAATAAAAAGGGATTTGGGGGCAAAAGCACTCGCGTTTGTACCAATCGTTCATCAGAGGAGGAGCTGTGTTCCCACTGATTTATTTCCTGAAACTATCTGGAAGAAAAGATAGTTACCAATAGGTTTGGGTTCAGAAAACCCTAAGTAACATGTACACATCTCGAGGGGTTCCTGATACCTAGGGTCCATTCTCCACTACATTCAGGATACTTACTGGAGATTCTTTAGTGTTCCCTAATTGATCCAGCCTTCTCAGGCTTGCTGAGGCCCTGGCATCACTTCACAATTTTAAACTGGTACTTTTTTTTATCTTAGGAGGTGCTGAAGGAAGGTTGTTTCTTCTACCATTGTACAGACTGTTCTTGTGACAGCTGATGACCTCTTAGGAAATGCTGTAGTTAAGAATTTGATAGGATTTGTTGTCAAAGTTGTGTGCAGAGTGGTTAAGTGTCAGACATTAGAAGGTGAGGCCATTTTAAAGTTTTTATGGCACTGTTTTTAATTGTGAGATGAGGAGGCAAGGCATATAACATCCAACATTAGGCATTTTATTCCTTTGGAAACATTGTTGTAGAGCTGGTTTTATGTATTAGTGAATTGCTGAAGTTTATTACTGGGAATCCGAAAATCGTTCTAATTGCTGATAAATGGATTTAGAAAATGATTTGGAGGAGTGTTGGTATAATTTGCCAACAGTGATGAAGGTAACAGTGTTTGTGCACTAAAACTATTATTTCCAAATTTAGTGGTATAAATGTCTTGCAGAATATGATGCGTGTATGTGAAATGAATATGTATTATATATATATATGGGGCCTGTAGTGTCCTCTGTTCAAATTATCAGTATTATAAGAGCTTGATCCTGAAAGGCACTGTGCATGCGCAGCTCCTGTTGTCTTTAATGGAATTGAGCATGCTCAGCATCTCTCAAGGGACAGGCCTTCAAAGCCCTCATCTGTACTATACGGTACTGTCAGAGATCTGAAGAAGTTCAGTACCGCATTTTGTGAATTATAGCATGTATTTTATAGGCACTGTACAACATTAATTGTGAACAGATTTATTCCATCAGCAGGACTGACATTATATGTCATCATTAGACAGTTTGGTGTTTCTGCAGTGAATAGTACCAGCAGTGCATACTAAAAGGTCCTTCTCTCTTCATAGGTGATTGACAGATAGATGGATGAATCAGAAGAAAGAAGCATTTCCTGGCACAGAGTCCCTGTTGTTAGTGCACACAGAAATCTATTGCCACTCTGCTTAAGTGAGGAGATGATGCTGGCATGCACGTCTCTTCAGGAGACTTTTTTTTCTCTTTCTTCAGAAGATGCCTGAAAAACATGATAAAAGTGGAGAAAAATCAGGCAGCCTTTATCAACATTCTCTGTAATGCCTATCTGCTGTATAAAGAAGGTCTGTGTGTCTGAAATGGATGAGGTCAGACCTCCAGTCCAAAACCCAGTTAGCTCCAGTCTAGCAATGTAGGTTTGTCCTCTCCTTCACACAAGAGGGCAGGTTCCCAGCTAACTTCTGACAGGATCTACCAAAAGAAGATAGTACTCATGCTTGTATTTGCTTCCTAGGCCACTGGTGGCATGAACGTTTCTCCAAGTCACCTGACAGAGCTTTTGCTCAGTCCACTTTGCCACTTAGGATATGGAGCTGGCAAAATACCTCAGTGAAGCCAAACTCTCTGATGCTACTGTATCAACTCTCTATCTTGGCCTCCATGGAGATCTTGCCTTCTCTAAACACTTATAAGAGCAAGAAGTACTCTTCGTTGCCAAACAAAGAGCCCTATATTGCATAACAATTCTGACATGCATTTGTGTGCAAAAAAGAAATCCAAGCTTCTCTCTCAGAAGGTTTGAAGAGGCAGGGGAAATTTATTCAGCATCCTCTTCGGGGTCTGTTGACTCTTCACTGAGGCGCTTTAAAGAAGAGGACATGAGCCACCTAATGAGATCAGTGCCCAAGACTTGACTGAGGATTCTGCTGTCACAGAGAAGTGTTTTTTCCTGATGCTCACAAAAAGAAAGGTGTTTTTGCACTATTTCCAATCTAGAGTAAAGGTCCATGAGAGGGAAGACCCATGAGGGGGAAGTTTATCACCCATGAGCTGATAAACTTCCTCTGCCAAAAAGCATATAATACCCTCCCCTAAGGAGAAAAATGGTCTGAGGGCCTCTCTAAAAATAGACTCCCATATTACTGGGTGATCTACAAAATCATATATGTCTTTTGAAGAGGTAGCTTTATCTGATCCATCAAACAGGAAAATGGAAGCATCTTTAGGAAGGTATTTGATTCAGGAACGAAAGGCTTCAGCACAATTCTAAATAAATCTTTTGTCACCAGAGTTCTTTTTGTTTGGGTGTCAAGATAGATAGCTCTATCTTCTCATAAAATAATTAAAGAAAAATGAAAAGTAACTTAAATCATATTATTTTGGCTACTGATGACCTAGAATCCGTGATGCTACTTCAACTTTGTCAACATTTTTGTTAAATTTTTAGCCAGTGGAGTATGTCACTGAACTTCCGAACAAACAGTCACTTCCATCCCTGTCATTCAGTAAAGGCACACTTTTTGGTATTGTCTTCGTTAGGATGGCTAAATATGTTTAGAAGCAGAATTACCCATTTCCTAAGAATAAGAAAACATACTATCAGCCAAGTGGATTATTTTTGTCTTTTCACCTGGCTGCTCTGAGAATTTGCCTTGTTTCTCTCAAGCTCAAGGAGCGTTCCCTCATCTAATCCTTTAATAAATAATAATAATAATACTTAATGTTGCTAATATTATTATTTCTTCAGCCTGAGGAAAGGAGAAGCTGTAAACAAGTGTATCCTATACTCCCAAGTTATGTGGTGTTCTTCCTGTCCCTCAGCTCAGCTAGATGAATGTCTTTTCTCTCCTGTTTCTAGTGTTGAAGCATTCAGGAGACTTGAGAGTAATCTTAGATTGCAGGTAGCTGTGCTAGTTTTTGGAATAAAGGGAATTCAATATGGAATCTCTTAAGTCTTATTAACAGCTGTGCCACAAGAAGCAATCTTCCATGTACATCTAGTGCAACATCTCATCAGAAGATACAAGACCATAATAAATAAACTTCAATAACAACCTGCATGTATTTCACATAAGACACACTTAAAACATTCTTTCAGTGGTGTCTGAGTTATCCTCAGGCAACATCTATCTGTCAGACAGGTCCTTAAGCTCCTTGGTTTTTGAGTTTCTGGATTTCTCTCTTCCCTGAGAATGGAACCAAAACATCTGTTCTCCAGAAAAATGACACTCAATTCCAGAAAATGTCAAGAAGCCTCCCAGTTTGTTTGATCAACCTATTAGTGTGTGAATTCCAAGGAAGTTTCTTTTTCTGGTTTCTGAGTGCACTCTCCACTATGACACTTTGTGACAGGATAGGGCTATCTTTTTTCCCCCTCTAACTCATCCTTCTTCCTGTCAGTCACCAGTGAAGGGAGGAGGACCTATTGTGATGGACCTACTCTCACAGAAACCTATTACACAGGTAGGGGATTTTTTTTTTCTTCACATATATTAATATATTATTAATAATATATATTAATTTCACTAAAGACATTATTCAGCTCACTCATTGGGCAGACATTTGCTGCCTAGTTTATTCATTGTGTTTTTTAATGGATTTTGGTTTTGGTTACAACATGACCAATGTAAAAAAGCAATCTGTAGCAGGCTTTACACTGCTACAATTTTTTTTACACATGTCTAATGATTTTTCACCTTACTCTGTAAAATAAACCACCACGAGGAAAGAGGCAGCAAGAAAAGAAGCAATAATGAATTATTGCATAGTCTCTTGACACCACCATCATGAGCTTCTTTAGGGAGCTAACTTTGTTCGGATACTTGCCACTGAAATGACTTTTAATTTATTTTTTCTGCTTTTAATTTTTGTGTGTGGGGGGGTGTATATTTTACATCCAAAATTAGAGCTGGTATAATTTTTCATTGGAAAAAAAATAGCCTTTTTCAAAAATTAAACATTTTCACCAAAAGTTGTTTACATTGAATTGTTTCATTTCTTGTATTAAAAAATAATAAGCAAGACATCCATTTACCATTTTTTTGACTTGGGTTTTGGTAAATAATATTTCAATAAGTTTTGTTTAAACTCAATTTTAAAAAAAGTGACACTCTGAAATAAAAACAACTTTGAAATTTCGCATTTTTCAGTTTTTACTATTTGTGACCAGCTGTCTGCAAAATTTAGAATATAAAATCAGATTTGAAGAATATGCTGTGCCAAAAATAACATAGAGCAGATTTTGGAAGCTGAAAAATATTAAAAAACTTATCTAGACTATAGAACCAGAACACTGCTGTGTGAATTTGGCTCTTCCTCTATATAAATGTAGGTTGTATACAATATTTTCTTCATTCCCATATATGCCTCTGCCACTGATATAATTTTAGAAGTCAAATTTATAACTAGCTTATTGCCAGGACAAAGTGAAATTGATGTGATCCTGGTCAGTTTCAGTCTGTATCTTCTTGAGTTGGTATAAGATAGGGGTACACCTTGTATATTACTGTTATAGAATCAGCATGATCATTTGAGTAGAACAACAGGTAAGGAAAAACACCTTTGCAGCCCTATTTCATCAACCTTAGTGCCCCCATTAGGAGAATATGACCAGTTCCTTCCCTGTGTAGAGGCCAGGATGGTGTCATTTACACTTGGTTGCTGTAGAAGCACTATGGGAAGAAGTGACAGCCCAGTCCTTGCTATAATCCTATCCTGAAGGATTGTCTCACAAGGAAACTCAAAATTGTAGGAAAACAGAACTTTGGCCATCCTGCAGCAAATATAAACTCACTATTACAGTAGTGATCGGAGGCCTTTCTCAGAATTGGTTTTCCATTGATGTTCCCATCTCTCTGCTGTTTGTTTTCACTTCTAAGGACTTGTCCAGATTAGGGGTACCTGCACCAGTGTAATTAAACATTGTAGATATACCAATAGATAGCCTGTACCAGTGCAAAGCAGAAAGGTGTGATGTACCCAGGATAAGTTGCGCTGAAGGAAGCGTTGCCTTAAACTGGTGCAACAACCCCCCTATCCTCCTACCCAAAAATCCAGTATAGCTGGTGTCTAACATGAAACAAACTTGTTTCATGTCATACCCAACACTCTCCTATCAGACCTTTATTCTAAGAGTTACTTTTTCTATTATGTCATTAATAGGAACAATATTTAACTTCGCTTGGTGCCTTTCGTACTCCAGTATCACAATGTGCTTTACAAAGCATTGAGATTCCCTATGCAGGTTTCAGAGTGGTAGCCATGTTAGTCTGTATCAGCAAAAACAACGAGGAGTCCTTGTGGCATCTTAGAGACTAACAAATTTATTTGGGCATAAGCTTTCATTCTGCATGCAGCAATAGCTGACACACAGCTTTAGGCATCAGAAACTGTTGCATCCTCCTGATGTTGGACACTTATTTATATTTATACTTGTTAATTTTTTTTACTTTCCACAGGGCTTGTCCTTTATATGTTGTCAATCCCAAACTCAAGGTGCCTATTTGAACCAACTGCTAGGAAGCGTTATTCAGCAGTATTTTGGGCGCTTTCTCCCTCCTTCACCATCTTCTCCAGGAACTGGACAGCATCCCATGCTGCTGGCATTATGCAATTCTATTACCATCCCACAGACCTTACATCTGCGGAAGACCACTGTGCATGTCATAAAGTAAGGCCTGAAGAAGGAGTAAGCCAGTTTGTAGATACCTAGACTTAACTTCTTCCCAAATAATCCATGGGGGGACACTGGTATTAATTATTATTATTGTTTATATTGGAGTAGCGCACACACAGCCTTCAGTCTGGATCTGGGCCCCATGTGCTGCGGGTTGTACAAACACACAAGAGACAGTCCCTGCTCCAAAGAGCTTTTAATCTAAATTAAGTCAAGATGCAATAGTTGCCTGTAGCAAACATCAGAAGGTGGTTGATGGTGGGGGAAATGAGGATAACTGTAATGAGAACACAGATTATACAGACCAGCTAAGAGCATAATTTTCAGGTGGCATGTCTTTTTTTTGTTTTGTTTTGTTTTGTTTTTTGTTAGATGAATAAACAGGAGATGAATGGAATGTGTCTACAGGATTTAAATTTTTAGTGACTTCTGTGTGAAAAGAGTTCTCATGTCAAATACATTATTATGTTGGTTTATTTCAGTTTTATTTTAAATGAGGTTGAAGTGGAAAAAAGATAAAGCAGTGCAAATATTTTTATTTTTGGTCTATTACTTCCTGAATGTGCAGGCTGGAAAACAGCAGGGAGAATAGAGACTCTGAAATGAACCTCGGTTCAGGACTCCGTTGAATAGTTCATCAGAGATCCTGGTCCTTGTGAACTGGGAGCAGACACGATAAAGAACAGAAGAGAAGGCAAATGTCTTGCGCTGGGGCCATTATTTATTCATTTAAAATTTACCCTTCTTAGCCTCTGAGCACATGCGCAGCAGCTTGAATTTAACAATTAAAACACCACAAAACTATCTTAAAGTACTCTTCCCCAAACACCAAATAAACTTACAGCCTACTTCCCTCAATCAAATCCTTGAGAAACTAGATACTGTATTGTAACCTCTAATTAATGTGACAGATCAGAGGTAGTCTGGCTCATTGATGGGGCACTGGACTGGGAGGCAGAAGATCAGGGTCTACTTAGAGCACTGCTGTTGACTCTAACTGTGGGCAAATCACTTCACCACTCAATGCCTCAGTTACTTAATAGGTATTGTTGGCATAATATTTCCACCCACCTCTGTAAAGTGCTTTGAGATCTACCAATGAAAAGCACTTTATAAGTGTTTAGTGAAGGTGGTGGTGGTATAATCTATTATTTATTGTTATAGATAGGTCTACTAGCATTGCCTATTATTAAGGTTGTTTGACACTTTCCATTATAAGACCCTGTTTCCAGTTGCTTATAAGTTTGCCAAATTTTAACTTTTGGGCTGAAATTTTACATGCTGGTTTTTTGCCTCAGGTTAAATATCTGGAAAATTTCAGAAAAACCTGAGAATGAGGCTAGGGAAAAATACATTGGCTTGCCCATTTAAAATAATTCTGGTGACCTTTTCTTTGAGACACTCTAATGCCTCTATACTTTGGAGCCAGGACTTGAACTTTGGCACTAGGGTGGCTTTTTTGTCAGAAAAAATCCCCCCAAATTTGGCTAAATTATAAGCCATTGGAAAATCACAGTTCACACATGCTCAGTAGAAACTTGCTAGACAGCTAAATTCCCCAAAGATTCCATCCATCCTGGGGCTGAACATGACTTTCCTTGTGATTGCTGCTCTGGGCTACTTATGGACACTGGAACTTGGAACAGAGATCCTGTCTCTCTTGTCTCAGTACCTTCCCACTGGCTCAGACAGCATGGAGGAAAAAGCTGTCTGAGCCAGTGGGAAGGTACTGAGCAGAGAGGATAAGAGCCAAACTGGCAGGCATAGGGAATAGACTGGAACAAGGAGCTTTGATGTGAGAGAGAAAAAGAAGGATGGTAGGAGAGGGGAAACTGGAACAATGGGTTGGAGTAGGAAAGACTGGGGCTTGCTGGACAAAGAAACTGGGAGGCAGGTAGGGGAGATGGGGACTGGGAGCCGGTGGGTTGAAGGGTTGAGATCAGACCCAGGGAGCGTCTGGGACTGGTTGGGCAAGGAACCAGGGAGAGAGGTGGGTGGGAAACAGTTTTCCGGGCCTATTAACATTTTTGAGATTTCAAAAATTTTCCTGTTCCAAAACAGAGATCTTTCAATTTTTTTTTGGCAAAAAAACAGAGAAAGACCCCCACCATCCACCCCAGAATACCCAATAGCCTGGTGGTTAGGGCACTCACCTGGGATGTGGGAGAACCAAGTGTAAGTCCATGTTCTAAATCAGACAGAGCAGTTACTTGAACCTGGGTCTCCTACATTCCTGAGTTCTCTAACCATTGGACTATTGGTTATTCTGTGGTGGAACGCTTTTTCTCTGGTTTTGACCAGAAATTCCATCCTGCATCTGAGAAACATTCCCAACAAAAGTTTTGTCAAAACTGATAAGTTCCCGCTAAAAGTTTTGGTTTCAAGGAATCAGCATTTTGTGATTTAACCCATTTCATTGAAAAATTCCTGACCAGCTCTAGCTGAGATGAGGCAGGGAAGAGTTGGAGCAAGGTAGACTAAGGGCTTGTCTACATGTAAACCATTTCAGCAGCATTGCTGCAGCTAGTTGGCGAAGTGAAGACGAAGGGGTTCTCCCGTCAGCGTAGGTAATCCACCTCCCCGGTAGGTAGGTTGCTGGGAGAATTCTCCTGTCAACCTAGTGCTTTCTACACTGCGTGGTTAGGCCGGTTTAACTGCATTGTTCAGGTGTGTGGATTTTTCACAACCTGGAGCAACGTAGTTATACTGACCTAATTTCCTAGTGTAGACCAGGCCTGAGACAAGTTGAGGAGCCTGGGGAGTAAGACTGTGACTGGGAGCCAACGGGGATGGGAACAGGGGCTGGAGGAAAAGTAGTATGTGATTATGTAATTAAACACTGTATCATCATGCATACACACCGGGGAGAGGGGAGGGGGGGAAATTAACATTGCACAGGCTGACAGATCCAGAGGAGCATGTACTGTAATGTACTCAGTTTCACTGGAACTTTTTGTAAATGTTGCACTTATTAACTGACTTATTCTTAGGACATGTCTACACTTAACATGCTACAGCGGTGCAGCTGCACCACTTCAGTGTACACACTGCCTCCACTGACGACAGGGATTCTCTTATCAGCGCAGGTACTCCACCTCCCCAAGAGGCGGTAGCTAGGTCAAGGGAAGAATTCTAGGGCTGTCTATACTGGCGGTTATGTTAATATAGCTACGTTTCTCAGGTGTAGATTTTTCATACCCCTGAGAGACGTGGCTATACCAATGTAAAGCAGGCCTTATTCCTCATGGGCAATATTTTTTTTTTTAAGCTAGTGTTAGATATCTGGAAAGTTATTTTGCATCCTCCATAAGTTATTGTATTACCTGATGAGTAAATGCAATGTTATGTTGTTGTACTACATATATTTTCTCTTGAGCTCATAAAATCAAAGGGTTGTCTTTATATTTCAATAAACTCATTCCTAATTTCAAACTAACTATGGTTCAGATTCTTGCATCTTCTTGGTGAAAAACAATAACTGAAGTCATCAAGTTGGAACACTTAAAATGTTCTTGATGTCAAAATTCATTCCTGCCCTAGGGTGTCAGTTACCGTTTGTCTTTGTGACCAATGTTACATTTGAGCCTGCTGTATTTATTCTGGCTGAGCAGAGGTAGAGGTTGTCTGTCCCTTTACAATATAATGTTGGCAAAGATGAAGTAGTAGCAACTGTGTTAATATAACTTCAAACCATATTGACTGTGAATAGTTAAAGTTCTTAGGGTTTTAATCAACCAGAAAGCATGTAAGAAATAAAATAATTGACTAAGAATTCTTAAAATATTTTGGAGGCCTATTTTCAAGGTCACGCTGTTCTGGATACTTTGTCCTTGGAAATCTGGTGGATGTTTCCTGGAAACAAAGGAAAAAGTCAACTTACACAATGGGAGTTCTGTATGTTTAAGGAGAGCAGACAATTGGAGTGGAGATCTCAAATGGGGATCTGAGGAGAAGTTTGCCCACAGAGCATAAATGCAAAGGGTCAAATATGGTGTGGGTTTGAAAAGAGCTTATGCATTTAAGGATATGTTCTTGGGTATTATTGCTTATAAGTAGCCATTTGCATGTGTATAATTGGGTTTTGCACAATCAAAAGTTGTCTATTTTTTGTGTGGATTCAGCTTTTATAGACATATTTGAGCATTTGACCATAATTGTGATAACTGCCATTTCTGGGTTAGCACAACAATAGGTGAGTTGTAAGCCCCTACTCTGTGGTGCTCTGCTGAATTGTGAGTAGGGTGACCAGATATCAAGTGTGAAAAACTGGGATGGGATGGGGAGTAATAAGCACCTATTAAGACACAGCCCCGAATATCAGGACTGTCCCTTTAAAACTGGGACATCTGGTCACCCTAATTATGAATCATTTCTAAGACTAAGACAAAGAGAAGCCAGTAGCTGATCCTACATAATGATAGAAATCTACTTAATGGCCCTCCTGGTGATATACGGCAATACTCTATTTAAAGGATGTAATATTTTATTTGTTGTACCATTGCTTAATGAAAAAATAAGTTATAGACTGAGCTTTATTTTGTTCCAGGGAAAACTACCTCCAGTTCAAAGGTAACTCCCCTCCTCCTCGCCTGGCCTCAGTTCTGGCTTTCATCCTTCAAGTATTTCAAAGAACCAAGAGCACTGAAGTATGTGACATTGAGTTGCTTCTCCCTGCTGTGTTGAAATGCATGGTATTAGTTAATGAAACACAAGGTGAGATGCTGGTTAACTTTAAATATACTTGTACATATGTAATATTTTATACTTACTGAGCACTTTTCATTCAAGTAGGTAGGTTTATTACACTGCAGAGAGTGGTAGAGGCACATTCCCAGCCAGTACCATCCAGTTTGCAACTGTGTTAGGCCCCCTCTTGAAGCATGAGCTGGCTAAGTTTTGTACTGCCAGGACCTCTCTGTAGGATGACTTTCTGCCAAGACCAGGAACCCAACATAACCCAGGGTTGAATACAGCTCCAAATTTATAAAAGAAGAAAATAAGCTTTGCAAATTAGTATTATCCCAAATAAATTGGGGTGGAGGGAAGGATAAATATATTGAGTACTTTTTTTGGGGGGGGGTGGGGGGAGAAAGCGAGAGAGAAAAAAGACAGTAGTACTGTTGGTGATAGTTGATAGTTCCTGTTCTTGGTTTTGAGCAGGGTAGAATGGCCTGACTGCTTCCTTCTCATTCGGAGTGGGAATGATCTAAAGAATACAAACAAAACCCAAACTGAAATATATACCTCCATTTCCATGGAGCGTGTATGTCTTGAGGGGACAATGCTTAAAATATACATTTCCCCCTTTTAAAAAAGACAGTGCTTAAAATCTGTGTATTTCAATCATAACAGTGGGGAGGTCAGAGTTCTATGGCAGTGGTTCTCAACCACGGGTCCGGGGGTCCTGGGGGGCCATGAGCTGGTTTCAGGGGATCCGCCAAACATGGCTGGCGTTAGACTTGCTAGGGTTCAGGGCAGAAAGCCGAAGCCTGAGGTCCTGAGTTCCAGCACCTGGGGCTGAAGCCTGAGCAACTTAGTTTCGCTGTGCCCCTTGTGGCATGGGCCCCCGGGCAATTGCCCTGCTTCCGACCCCTTAATGCTTTTATATGGAGAAAACCAGATATTGTGGGACATGGAGTTTTTATGGAATGTTGGAGGGGCCTCAGAAACCCCTTTTCTGTTGAATAAAAGAAATGATTCTTTTATGTGATTCGTTCTGTTCTTTATAGCCAACTTAGCTTGTGTTTTTTTTTGTTTTTTTTTACAGTTAAAAAACTATCTAGCGAGATTCTGCAGTATATGGTAGAAGGCTGCCAAGCAGGGTTGGGAAGAGAACCTGCCACCCAACTGACTTCTGTGTTTAGGTAACCAGAAAATACGCCAACTGGCAGTGCAGCTATTGCAAAGCATTTGACAGCAAACATATTTTTTTAAATAACTAATTATCCCTAACCTAATGCACTGTTACTTGTTTATGGTACTTAAATTATTGCATTCTTGGCAGTGGTTTAAAATACTGGTTGGCTAAAAAGTGAAAGAAAAAAATACAAGTTTTCCTGTGGATTCCATACTGTTTTGAAAGATAAACAACAGAGGGATGTATTGCAACCATAATGGGAGAAACTCCTTGGGCGAATGGTGAAGCATGTTGTCAGAGGCCAAGTTGCCAAAGTGTACATTCCTAAATTGAAAGGCACATCTGACTTTTTTTTGCTTTTACATTTTTTATTATTGAAATTCCGAATTTGTGACATTCAGATTTTTCACCGTGAAAATTGAGCTTTTTACCAAACTTGACAGGATTGTATTGCCCATGAATCTCACTCTCCATGCACATATAGTGAACAAATTGCATGAGCCCAGTGCCCAAAGAAATTTTGCAAACATAGACCCTGATCCTGTATTGTATAGTGTGCAGGCTGACAGCTGGGTGGACAGTCCCATTGAAATCAGTAGGGCTCTTTGCTGGAACACAAGTCTGCCCACACGCTACAAAAAGCAACTTTTTCAGGGGGCATTTTATGTCCGATTTTGCATGCCCTCACCTCACCATTCTGACTATTATATATATATTTAAGCCCTGATCCTGCAAGCTCCTCCACGCAAGAAGACGCCTGCTTCAGGGCAGAGTGCCCTGGATGAAGGGGTCAGCCCACATGGAGCAGCTTGCAGGATCTCCGGACTTTAAGTTTCACTGGTAAAAATGTGTGCATGTACATGTTGATCCTGTAGCATTAGCCTTTAAAAATGCAGCCCCTAAAGTCTTTTGTATAAAATGAAAACTTCCATGCATTCAAGATGGTTCTGCTGATCAGACTCTATTGGTGGTTGTTTCTTTGCACAGTCTCTATATCTAGTTTTGACCTTGCATGAAGTGCCCCTGTTTCTCCTTCAGGCAATTTATCCAGGACTATACCACAGTATATGATCATCAGGTTTACAGCATCCTGGAAGTAGTGGCAGTCTTGGATCAGCCCCTAGTTATCAGTCTGATTCCAACAATATCACAGTCCCTGAAGGATTCAGAGCACAAACAAGGGCTTGGCAGAAACACTGCACAAAGGTACATTTTGTATTATTATTGCTTTTTGTCAGTGAACAACAGAGGTGTATTCTCTTGATGGATGGCAACTTTAGACTGCAGCGTAGATTTCGTGTAACTGATGTGTAAGTACGTTCAGCCAGAAATTTACCTTTTTTTAGAACTTTAGCACATACAGATAACTTAGAATTGTGAAATGCTTTCTCAGATGTTTTGACACCAAGCTTACAAAAACACACACAGTAATTTAATGCAGAGCCTGCTGGCTTCCATATAAATAAATAATGGTTATTTATATTACATTAGCACTTAGGAGCCCACTCATGGACCAGGACCTCTTTATGCTACATGCGATACAAACACAAAACAGAAAGTCAGTCCCTGCTCCAAAGAGCTTACAATCGATTTAGTTCCTTAGTTGGATTGTGCTATAAATCCCTATTTTTAAGGATTTGTACTCCAATTTTAGTGTAAATATCTGATTCAGGCTTGGCATAAGAAATATCCATGGATTAATTTTAAGGGTTTTTGTACACAGTATAAAATAAAAAAAATAAAAGCTGGTGATTTCAGAGCTTTCAAAAAATCCTTTCCTCAGAGTCATTTTAATTTTATATAATATAAACTGAAAATACTAAAATTAAAACAAAAAGAGGATACCAAAATATACTTTACAATGAACCAGAACTTCACCAGTAATGTATGATTTCCTAGTGGAGCATGAGAGAAAGGGTCAAGAAATCAGTCTTGTAGAGTGGATACAGTCATGCAGGATACATATATTAAGGAAGATGCTCACTTAGAGGATTCTAAATGAGGAGGAACGATTCCATCTTCTCATGCATAAAAGTATAATTTGTCTCACTTTTATAAGTCAAGAAAATAGAATGCATGCTGTGGTCCTAAGCACTAGTAAGAGATTGGTGTTCAGATTTTTTTTTTTCTACCAAAGTAAGAATAACATAATGAGGGAGCAGTACTTTTCTGTAATAAGGTAATGTGTTCCTTTTCATTCCCTTGATACAGAAAGGAGAGGGATGGAGGTTAAAATTTAAAGGGAGGAAAAATACTGAAAGTCAGGAGTTTTTTTTAATTGAGTAATATGCACATTAAAATGTGTAATGTTTGTTCCAACATGAGTACAGTGTTTAACCATGTAGAATATTAACTCTCATAGGTCCCAATTATTCTTACATTTATTGGTTTTTGATCTAGCTAAGGATCAAATATGTAAATTTACTATTGGCGTTTCCTATTCAGCTGGGTATTTAGGCATATGACTGTAACTAACGTCACTAAGCGGTGTGAATAACCCTCACCCCTGAGTGCCGTAAATTATACTGACCTAAGTGCAGGTATGGACAATGCTATGTCTGTGGGAGAAGCCTGGGAGAGCTTCTCCCGCCAACGTAGCTACCACCTCTCGTGGAGGCAGGAGTTTAGCTGACAGGAGAGCATCTCCACCACAAGCGTTTCAGTGACACAGCTGCAAGTGCTGTAGTGTAGATGTAGTCTTAGTCTCTAGAAGTGCTTAAAATTATGTTGTTGCTTAAGTTCTTTGCTGAGTGGGGCTAGGGCTACTGAAAGGGTGAAATCCTGGCTCCATTGAAGCCTTTGCAAGTTTTGCCATTGATTTCAGTGGGGTCTGGATTTTACCCACAATGTGTAAAGTTAAGCAAGTGTGTAACTCTTTGCAGGATTGGGGCTATAAATATTATATTCATTTTGTATTTTATACAGTCATACAAACTCCAGCTCATTAAATATGTACAGTGTCTAAGCATATTTTTCAGTCATTGTCCATGCTACAAGTTTCATTTTCAACAGAGTACAAATGAAAGGAGTTAAATATAAAATAAAATATGATGCTTTTTATTCAGTTTCTCTCCTTTTAAAGCCCCTCTTACCCTCCACGAAAAAATAGTTGCTTCTATTTTAAGTAAGTACATGCTGTGTTAGACTGCTATTCCACTATTCATAGAAGGATTTTCAAATTCCCTCAGTTTTTTCTTTTGATCATGTAGTCTGTAGACACTTTTATATAACATTTTTTATACTGTCAATAAAGCAAAGCTCATCCATTTGCTAACAGACCGTAAAAAGACAGTTTGTTTGAACTTCCCCAAGAATATACTAGGGGATTACCAAACTGTCAAGTTTTCTTTAGTAATAACTACTCTAAGATCTGGTGTTAATGTTCTCCACAATGTTTTCTCTATACATGCGTAAAAACTTTATTAATAAACTGCTTCCCTGCCCACCCCTTTAAGGTGATCCATGAATAAGGCTATGATTTTGTCATGGATATTTTTAGTAAAAGTCATGGACAGGTCACAGGCAAGAAACAAAAAATCACGGAAGCCGTGACCTGTCCCTGACTTTACTAAAAACACCTTCCTGACAAAATGGGAAGGGAGGAGGGTCTAGCACCCTGCCCCTTCCCCTTCCCCTGCCTGCAGCAGCTGGAAGCTGCAGGGTCTCCCTGCCAGCGACGGAGGCTGGTGAACTGTGTGGGGGCCTCTTTCAGTGGCCGCTGAGCAGCTCCGGTATCCCTCTGCCTGCAGCCCAGAGGTGGCGGAGGGGGGCGGATGACACCAGCTGCTCACAGTGGCAGCTGGGGAGCTCAGGGGTCCCCGCCAGCACTGGCAGCTGGGGAGCTTAGGGGTCCCTGCGGGTGCAGGCAGCAGCCTACGGAAGCTGGGCTGCTGCAGGAGTCCCCTGCTGCTGGCTTCAGCAGATGTTACGGAGCATGCTTAGTACACTCTAAGTAGCACATTCAGTCAGATAGCAGTTTTTTACACTACAGGGCGGCTGGTTAGCTGAGAAGGGCCCTCAATGTGACAAAGGTCACTGGAAGTCACAGATTCCGTGACTTCCGTGACATAACCATAGTCTTATTCATGAACAATGAAAATACAGTCATCCTCGTAAAAAGCTTTCTTTCTCAAATCTAGATCCTCTAAGCATAAATATCTATGTATATAATTTTGCATTATTCTATGTATGCTTACTATATTTTGTTAAAGTTCAGATCCCATGTAAATCAGAACCAATGCCAAGAAATTACACTGGTAATGACACTATCAAATGTTATGGTTTAACATGAAAATTACAGCAAATATATGCAACCTATTTGTAGAATTGAAATGACTGAGAAGGATATTTTGTGAAGAAAAATATAGAAATATTTCATATCTGTTCTTTACATAAATGTCTTCATGGATAATTAACTAATGATATGGTGATATCTTTAACCTTCTTTCTAAGCCCATTGTAGCAACCTGTCATAGTGTGCCGTTTTGGAACCACCACTCCATGAACTACATACAAAATATCCTAAACAAAAATTAAATATGTGGTAACATAGTGAGCTCTGTACGTGATTCTGGTTTTGAGCCTCAGCTAGACAAGTAAATACACAATTTAAAATAAAGAAGTGTCTAGCTTAGGAGGAAAGTTTACTTAGTAAATGGAATATCTTCAAGATCTATGTACCAAACAAACTAAAGGAAGTATTTCTTCACACAACGCACAGTTAACCTGTGGAACTCTTTGCCAGAGGATGTTGTGAAGGCCAAGACTATAACAGGGTTAAAAAAAGAACTAGATACATTCATGGAGGATAGGTCCATCAATGGCTATTAGCCAGGATGGGCAGGGATAGTGTCCCTAGCCTCTGTTTGCCAGAAGCTGGGAATGGGTGACAGGGAATGGATCACTTGATGATTACCTGTTGTGTTCATTCCCTCTGAAGCACCTGGCATTGGCCACTTTCGGAAGACAGGATACTGAGCTAGATGGACCATTGGTCTGAGCCAGTATGGCCGCTCTTATGTTCTTAGGTGCCATGCCATTCGATCCTTGTTTGCCCCTCAGCCAAACTTTGCTAAAAATTCATAGTAAACAAAGCAATTGCAGAAGTGAGGAAGGAAAAAGTTCTGGTTTTACCTCACGTTACGTGAAAAGCTTGCATGAAAACTGTATTTTTTTACTCTTCAGTCCTATGAAATTGTTTAACTAACATATTATATGCTTTTGTTTTTAACAGAGAAGCCTACAAAAGACTGTTATCTCGCCTTACAGCAACTGGTCAAAATGAGATACTAAAACTGGAAAATGAGACAAGTTAACGATGTATTGGTGATTAATTCTTTCCCCCTGAAATGTTTGCACACTGTTACTGCCTGTACTGTTATTGTAATGCACTATCAAAGTTGTTTATCTTTACAGATAGAATCTATTTAATGCTTTTAAAAAGTTAAGCTGTTTTTCCAATAGCATTGGTAGCGTTTGACTATTGCCAGAAATATGAAGAGTAATTCAAATATTTTGTCTTTCAGTTGATGACTGAAAGATATTGCAAATTCATTAAATATTAGAAACATCCATCTAAAATTCACAAGAAGTCACAAGACAATGTGTGGGATTTTCAGTAGAGCCTAAGTGACTTAGCTCAAGTCCCATTGACATTGTGTGTTTTGAACAAAATTTTAATTTCTAAATTTTTAATGGGAAAGTGTTTTGTAGATCAGAAATAAGTGTGATGTGTAGAACTCTGGGGGTCAGGCAGCAGGCTTTCATACTGAGCACACAAAGGCACTTCATGTCAGTATGCTGAGCTCAGTGAATGCAATGTCTTCACCAAAAGCTGGGTCAGGGTTAGGCTATCTTACGTTAATAGAAAGGCTTATGTATGTGTTGCACAGAATAGAGACAGGTGTCCTAACCTTGCTCTTGTATTGAAACCTTTCGGGTCTTTCAGGTTCCTCATCTCTGTTGTCCTGGGGGGAGGGAGCAAGCAAGCAAGTCTCAGGTTCCTGAATATCAAGGAGATCTCCCATTCTGACTGAAGTGGTAATTTCCTATTCTTCCTCTTATCCTGGATTTAAAACGAACTAAATTAAAAATCTAGTTAAATCCACAAAATTTGATGTGAATTTCATTAGCTAGTTTAACTTAGACGAAGGATAAAGGGAGAGAGCGAGAAGGCTGGTGCACTTAGAAGAACTGATTTCAAAATCTTTAGTTAGTTCAGACTGTGTTTAACATTGGGTGAGTCTGGCTAGATGGATTTCTCAAACATCTCACTGTGTCCTTGATCCTTTCTCTAGTCCGTCATAACTTTTCTCTAAATAAAATAAAAGTTCCTTAACTTTAATTTAAGATTCTGTAGAATTCACATCTTTCACTTGACTCATTAACATGAGTTCCTAAGAGTTATTCCTGTGGCATGGGAAGTGGCGTGTGTGTACCTTCTGACAACACCATTGAATTGGTTATCTATTTTTAAAGTTATTCAGCCTTAACTTTACAGAGTTAATGGGGGAGGAAGAGAGACTATTTTTGTGTAACAACTACAGCTTCAGAAATGTCCCTACAATCTTGTTCAGAGCAGCATCTGTTTTGTTACAGTGCTCCTATCAAGTAGAAACAGATAATCTTTTCCCTAAATCAGCTATTGTTACGTCAGATAATGTAGTAACTAAAAGCCTCTTTAGGCTACTTAATAGTGCAGAACATGGAGGTTCTTTTCATTATGAAAGTGACTTATTGAACTTGTGTTGTAAGCTTCTGCACCTGGAAGGAGTCTTATTCATCTCAAGAGGCTTGTGCTTCTAAAAAGCTTTTTTTTTTTCCCTTCAAGAAAACTCTCCAAATGAGATTAATAGAGATGCCTTCGAAATCTGAGTTTTATCACACAGTAGGTAGCAGAACAGATGTCTTACTGTAGTATTACTTCCTGAAAGTAAACCCTTCGACTTTTAAAGAATAGGTAGAGTAGGTATTGTAACAAATTATTTAATAGTGTGCTCAGTGAGGTTTTTAAAGGTAGAGTGGATACTGTCTGTAAAGTTTCTAAAAAAGCAACAATGCTTTATGAAAATGTGACATAGCTCTTGGTGCATGAGACACTAATTTAAACAGTTTGGAAACTATTGTTCTTTTCTGTCAAAAAGTTAATGCAAACAGAAATAAAGCATTTTGCATGATATCACTTAACTACTGTCAAGCAGGCAATCTGGTATAGTTTAATTATTTGGTGTGGACAGGGACAGATGTGACTGACTGACAGTCTTGCTAATAAAGAGAGCAAGGCTTTTGCAGAGTATTATGGGGTAGGGCGGCTTGTCTAGTATACCTCAAAACACTCCACCCAAATATTTCACTAGGAGAAAGGCTGCTGAATTAAAATACATTTAAGGAAAATTAAAGTAAGTCTAAAACCAGCCGTCTATTGTGTATGTCTGTTATATGTTGTAGCTGTAAAGACCTTTTAAGGTACTGAATATTGCATGAGTGTATAGAAAGTATATTTAATGTTTTTATACTTCCTTTAACAACACATCTGAACACTTTAAAAGCAGAAGTACTTCCTTTTAAACAAACCATTCATTTATAAGCTACTGCAGACACATCGTGGGAGGCACTGTGCACCTGCAGATCAGTTGTACATGGGGCCATTTGCAGAGGAGATCCCAGACAAGGTAGAGATCCTTTCCTGTTCCCTGGAGAAGATCTCAAGAGAGTCTCTGCGGCTAGCTGCAGAGCAAGAGGGATTTTGGGCGGGACTGGAACTGCCCAACTGATTTGTGCATTTGTGGATCAGCTGAGCCAAAACCCCATGCAAGGGGAGCAATGGGCCACATTTGTATCTCCTCCCCATTTATGGTAGCAGGAGTTTTACCCAGCTCTTCAGGCATCCTGCCTGCAAGGGACTGTAGATTCTGTTCAGCCCTGCAATATTTTAAAATGGAGTACTAAGTCCTTTTATGCCAGCTTTGCTCCATCCCTGTGATTTGGCCCTTTGCAGGTTTCCCTTGGGGGAATCCTCATTTGTATAGTAATAGAGCAGTGCCGCTCCAAAAAACATAATAGCAGAAATGGTCTCCATGTTTTGTAGAACATTGCTAAAGCAATATTGCGCTTAGGTGTTTTATAACATTTGTGACTTATTTCCATAATTAAGAAGAAAACCCAGAGAATAAGACTGTAGCTAGGATTGCTAATGGAATTCAACAAGACTTATACGGGTACGCTTTGTCCAGCTCGTTTTATGAATATGTGAGCTGGTGACTTTCTAAGACATTTATGACATTATTCACCAGCATCCCCACAGCAATGATTGTAATCACATCATTGCAGTATTCAATGGTATTTTGATCAAATATTAAATTTCTGTTAAAAAGTTTTCAAAACTACTACAGTGGCTCATTAAATGTCATTTCCCTCCCCCCCACCCTCATAAAAAAAAATAAATCAGCAGGAGTGCTGCTGTCAGTGTAACAAAAGCCTCATTTATACATCTTCTACTCTGATAGCTGCTTCAGTACTGTTACTGTGTGTGTATATATGAGGCAGGCTTTCCTCGCTGAGACACACAGCACTAATAACTGGATAAAAATAAAATACCTTTTTAATATATTTCCTCTATTACTGAATTCAGGATACTGATCTCCTCTGATCCATCACACTTTGGTATAGAACAACTGTCCAATATGCCATGCCAAACTGCAGATTCCTTTTTTTTTTTTTTGAACCCTAAAATGATTATCTAAAAGAATAAGAAAAGGAAAAAAGCATTGTTAAAAATTCACACTAACTTCCATTATTCCCATGGAAATGTCCATCTATTTTTTAAAATTTTCACATTTTTGTATTGTTAGTGGAAAGCAAGAACAAGATATATTAAATTATGCCTCGCTTCCATGTTCACTGACAAAAAATGAAGTGAGCGGGCATTTCCTAAGATGAAATAGCTCATAAGATAGCAAATTTTACCCTTTTATGATGGAATAAGGCAGTGCACACATGCAAAGAATAAAGATCTGTACAGTATTTGGTGTAATTATACAGAACATGAGCTTCCAGTAACATACACCACTTACATTGTCATTTATGAAAACTTCCATAACTGTCCATTTAAATGGAATTGCCATATTTCCCTCAAGAAATGGATAATAGGCATTACTGCAGTCGTCTTTTTCCCTCTTCTATAGCTTCTGAAAATTAGATATGTTGGGAGGTTTTTTAGGAACTACATTTCATCATAATTTATCTTAATTATTTTTAGCTGCTGCTGTATTTAAAATGTGATGTAATCAGCCCTTCTGTTAGAAATGGTTACAAAAATATACTGAAGATAAAAACCCAGTGTGGTGTCAGCATGTCATAGCGGAGTTAGATTGTTGTAGAATACACAGAAGTATGAATGGTTAGGAAGTGAGTTTTGTCTCAAAAAACTTCTTTGAGCTATGTATAAAACAAAACCTTTTGAAGGTGGTGGTCTCCCACTACACAAATGAAAAGCAACTGTTAACTAAAAGATCCTCATTCTGTATCTTGATCTATATCGTCTTGTTACAGGTACAGGAATTTGCCCACATCAAAGGGGTTACAGGATTGGGAACAAAATTCACTAAGTTTTCTAGACCAACTTGTTAAGCCCTATAGTGTAGTTCCTGGAAGAGCTTGCCTCTTACATTTGAACAGGACATCACTGTATAAGTAAGTTATCCTAGTACCAACTGAATACCCCATATTTATCAGTTGTAAATTGATTTCCCTCATGTCTGTTTTGGTAAAAAGGTTAATATAAAATTATCATCTTAGCCCATGTGATGAATTCTGCGAGCAACATCAAAACCTGGCACAGCTAGTTCTGTAAATTAGACGTCCATACTGTAGGCTTATATTTCACAGTTGATATTATTTATACACATATGTCTTAAAGGTACATATTTATTTTATCAGAAAATAGTCAGAAATTGGCTGAAGGGCAAACATTCAATACATTAAAAAAAATACAAGCAACTTAAATTCACTATGGAATTATAGGAGAAGTGTGGACATGAAGAAAAATTGAGATGATGCAACTTCCATTTCGTATAAGCAGTGTGATGTTGCTAAATAATGCCTTAGACAAGCAGCGCTCCTGCAGAAGGTATCTTGATTTCTTCATATATTAATTTTTTGAGTTCTGGCATTATAGAAAAGCTGCTGTAGCTTTGCATTATAACAAGATAATCTCTACTGAAAATACCACTGAATACTGACATTCTCTCCTTTTCTTTCAAAAATTATTTTGAAAAAAAGCTAAGTAATTTCCCCAGAAACAAAATATTATCCTTTTACATAATCTACATTCTTAAACTGCCTGCCAAGTCCTCCTTCCCTGCAAACTCTTGACTGCAGAGGAAGTATTTTAACCTTGCCCTCTTAATTTATTCTACATTCTAATTTTCAGTAAACAGATGCCGCCTTTTTTTGCATTTGTTCCACATTCTGCCTATGTTGTTTCTGCTTGTGTGCACATTCAATTATCTATTTCTTCCTGATTCTGCAACTGATGTACTAAATTTCTATATTAGTAGGGGGGAAAAAGAACCCTAGGCAAACCT